AGTATACAATATATATATATATATATATATATATATATATATATAGAGAATAGAATATTTAAATGTATACTTATTATTACACTTGGAAAGTGAAATGATTCTCTATCTCAATTTCCAATAAGAAAAAATTTCTTGTTTTATGTTACCTTCTTTTCAATCCTTATGAATTATTACATTTATAAATACAAATTAACAATCTTCATATTAATATAATAATAGTTTATAAACTTTTAATTTTTACCTCCAAAACCACCGCCACCTCCATGGCCACCTCCATGGCCGCCACCTCCAAAACTGGTATGCCCGCCAAAACCACCTCCTCCATGTCCTCCACCAAATCCGCCTCCATGTCCTCCACCAAATCCGCCTCCATGTCCTCCACCAAATCCGCCTCCATGTCCTCCTCCAAATCCTCCTCCATGGCCACCTCCAGGTGATGTGATTATTATTGTATGATCACCACCTCCTCCCCCACCTCCTCCTCCTCCACCTCCATGATCGTGTCCACCGTGATCCTCGTATTTTATTATCTTCTTTTCCTCGTGTTGAATTATCTCTGGCACGTGGATCCTAATATGCACGCTGGAAAGTTGGTTAGGCGTGTGTATCGTGGTTATTAATGTTATTATAATAATGGTTAACGCTCGTAATTGCTAAATAAATGTGTACTTACTGCTCTTTACCAAACGTAGCAAGCGTGACGGTTAATGTTGTCGCGAGGATCAAATACCTCATCTGTAAATTGAATTGTTTCATGAGTAATAAAGAGATATATTCTTTCTCCTATTATATCCTAATGTTCCAAATAACAATTAATGAACTTGGAGCTTAATGATTATTTAATGTCATTTAAAAAAATTCCTGAAAAAGGTTAAAATATGAAGATTTATTACCAGATCTATTGTCTATCTAATAATTATACATATAAATTTGTGCGAAAGGATTTTTATCAAAGGACAAAAATTTAAATTTATCCCCTATTTATAATTGATATATTGAATAATAATCAATAGTTATTGTGTTAATAAAATATAATATCAATAACTTAATTTATTTTTCTTGATTCCATCTTAATTTAACATTACAAAAATGATCCTTGTCACTCATTCAATTGCTTCAATATTTCCAATACTGTATCAACAAAATGTTCATCTTTTAAATGACTCAATCGTTACCATCGATGCATTACAGAATACATAAATATTAAAACACAATTTTATTGCTCAACAATCCATCCATCTTTCTTATCCTAACACATCCAAGACACTCCATTTAATCATTCCCTTAAAAAATTCACTAAAGATATCACAAAGAAGAGAACTCAATCCTGTCATCACAGATCCATCATCCAAAATCCAAAACTCTGACAAACACAAATATCCTTTGCTTCTTACAAAGATTCTCAGCTGCATTGTGGCCCAGTCTCTTCCTTGTCTTTTCTCGATCAGCTCGACTCGATGGCCAGGAACACACTGTCATATATATCCAGCAAGGATTCTGGCTATATATATATATAGCGAGGCCGAATGAAGTACCGGAAGAGAGAAACAAGTGGGGAGACGATGAAGATAGGTGCTCAACCAGCAGAGGAGACTCGAATCGAAGGTGTCGTGCCTTTCGTGCACACGGGCCACGCTTCACGAGATTACACGTGTGTGTGTGTATGTGTGCAAAAATGGCCGTGACCTAGAGTTGGTTACCGGAGAAATTGGCGCTTCGGGCGTTTTTCGGCTGTGCTGCCCTCTGGAACATAACAAGGAAATGGACATCGAACGATGTTAAAGAACCCTCTTCCAAGAGGAAGTGAAAGAATGATCTTCCGTGGATCTCTCCTCTTCGAAGAAACGATTGAGAGTGTTGCAGTGTATGAACTGATTGAAGATAAAAAAAGTGATAATAATATTTTGGCATTTTTTTTTTAAATATTTTTGTATTTTAATTTTGTTTTAATTTAAATTGAGAAATTTGTAATAAAATTTATTTGAATAAATGATGTGTATCTGTATGTATATTAGTTTGAAAAACTTTATGACTTTTTTTGTAAGTAATAATATGAATATAAAGTTTAATAATTTAGCGAATAATTTAGTGAAATGTTAGTGTAAAAAATGTTCAAGGAATAGAAAGAATTAATAAAATAAGAAAGTAAATACGATCAATTAATATATTAACTATACTTTCAAATAATCGTATAAATAAAACGATTCGATCCCAGTGTTTAACCTACTTCTTTGATATCGATCATAATAATGAGTGAAAGAAGGTAAAAAAAATGTACAAAGCAATGTATATTCTAATTATGAATGTGAGAATGGCAAATGCTAATTTCAACATTGTAAATTTCTTAATCCACTATTTCATTGTTCCTTTTATTTTCTAGTAGTAAATTCCACGATTAGAAAATCGTTTCACTACTATACTTTCCTCCAACAATATTCGTACCAATTCTTCTTCTTCTCTTTATTTACATCAAATCTCAAATATCAATCTAATAAATAACAAATATTTGTCGATTAAATGTCTATATTAATAGAAAATTCAAATGTTTTTATGTTTTTCAAGAAAAGTCTAACCAATCGAAACTTTTCCAACTGTTTCTCTCGCAAAACTCAACTCAAATCTCAAATACACATGTGGTATATCAATCTGATTTACAAATAACGTTTATTAATAAAAAAAGAAACTCAAACGTTCATTAATAAAATAGAATAATATGGATAGAAGAAAAAAAACAAGAAAAGGTGAATATTTCAAATATTTTTTTAGAATTCTGTTTTTCCCCCTAGTAGGACATTCTATCTCTCACATCCTCTTTCCCGTGCGATATCGAAACAGGTATTCGAATGCATCCCAAAGAGATATCATCTACGCTCGTCGAGCGCACGATTCCGTGGCAAAAGAAGCGCAGCGTTTTCCATTTCACTTTTCGTTCTCCCCAATGCGAATCCGTCATTGGGATGCCGGTGAACATCGTCACCAATTTACTTTCCTCGAAGGTCGTTGCATAAATCGATGCCCAGAATTTTTACGATATCTAATCTCACTTTCCCTGAGTTCCAGAACAAAATGGAGCGTAGAGAATGTGGCTCACAACCGAACGAATCGTCGCGTATACGAATTCGAAATGGTGCATCATGCGAATCATGCGGGTTTTATTATTAATATTTATATGTAAATACATATAAATATCAATAAAAATTCTAGTTTTAATCTTGTTTCGATATGTACGAAGTATTCTCGCGAAAATGGTTAACATATGGGATAGTAGTAGAGGGAAAAGTTGTACTTGTAAATAACGTAGTGATTCTTATAATTTTTTTTTTTTCGAAAATTTGAAAGTAATCTTTAATTTTTTTTTTTATTATATATATATCTTATGAAAGCATGACAATAAATTGAAGCAATATTGTACAATTATACATCTTCAAAATCATACAAGATCAAGAATGAGACAAATTCAGTCATTTCGTAGTATTATATTCATCAATTTTAGTTAAATTAGATTATGTTGTTGTTTCAATTATAGATGATGTTTATAAGATATAAATAGAAGAGCAATGTTTGAATGATATTTAAAAGATAATATTTGAAACATTATGAAGTCTTATTAATGAGACAATTGATCGATACAGTGTCCCGAAATGATTGAATTATTTTTGTCTTATTTTTGATTTTGTATAATTTTGAAGATCATTGTATGACATTGTTTGAATTTGTTTTAATGCTTCCACATGTAAAAAGAATTTATAACATTTTATTAAAAAATTGAGGATCGAATTGAAAGTATTGAAAAAAAAAAATATGAATTATTATGTTGTCTACAAAAAGCAATACAATTTTTTCTTCCATTATTTTTTCCAACTATTTTCGAGAAAAATGCAAATATCTTCTATATATGTGAATACTTAGAGAAACAGAATTGAAGTATTGTCGAAATAAACTTTATTTCACATTTTGATATTATAACATTTTATCTTTTAAATTGTCTACTTGAAAGATAGTTACATTTTATATTAACACTTGTTATTGTAACCAAACAATTGATGTATAAATTATATTGAAATTAATTTATTTCTCTAAGTAAGATAATTTTAATAAAATTTAGTTTAAATGAAGAATATAATTATTTATAATTTTTATTTATTATTTTGATTTCAAATGATAATTTGATTTCATATTAAAAGTAATTTGACGTGAAAGTAATTTTGCAAGATTAATTTTTTGAAAGAACCACTTGTGTTATAAATTTAATTGATTCGATGAATACGTGTTTTCATTATTTATTTTAAAAAAATTTTTTTAAAAAAGTAAATTATCGTTTTCTGATCTTTTTAATCGTAAAATTCGTAAAATTTACATTTGTCAATAATTAACAATAGATTATGATTTAATTAGCAATAAATTAGGTCTCCAGTAGAATCTTGAAAAAACAGAAAACAGGCACATACCTTGAAAAAATTCTGTTTCGTTTTGAGTGATCGATTTCTTTGTGAAACGAATTATTTTAATCCTGTAAAGAGAAAGTACGCAATAATAGTGAAAAGGAATTTTTTTTTTTTCCTATATTTTTAATAGTCTCCAACTTCGCGTTGTAAAGTGATTAATTAATACAAAATTCGAAATTCAGAGTTAAAGGTTTATTTCTCATTAGGGAGAAAAACAAGAGAGCATTGCGTTACAAAATGAGAGTATAATTACTTTGATAATTCGTTCTAGAAAACGAGCTTCGTATCGTTAAAAAATTAACTCGTCAATGACTATCACTTTCATGCTTCGAATAATACTCTTACCTGATGCTGCAACCTATAAAGCCTCTCTAATCTAATCGAAATGGCCAATTATTTCTTATTAATATACATGCAACACAACGTAATATTATACATAACATAAGTAATAATAAATTTCATGTAATAGGAAAAAAAAAAAAATTAATTGATTTAATCTTTAAATCGGAGAATACTTGTCTCTTTCACCTTTTAAAACGCTGATACTTCTAAAATAAAGTTTAACAACTCATTAAATGCGATAACGATTCAATTTGTTGTTAAAAATATATGCGGTATTATTAATTGTACAGTTCTCATTATACGACGATTAAAATAAAAAAGTCTCTGAATTAAAATTTCAAATTCTCGGGCACAAAGGAAAGGAGAAAAACACGAAGGAAACTGGAACTCGGAGATCAAAGGCATTCCACCAATGACAGCTTCGTAAAATGCAACAATCGAGACCGCTCTTAAGATATCGTTTCTCGGGGAAAAAAGAAGAAAAAAGAGACGAAACTGGTTAAATCGTATGAAAGGCAACGTAACTCTAAAATACAACTGGTGAAACGGTGATCAAGAATCTCGACATTGACATTCTCAATGGAGCTGGACATTTCTCGGTTCGAAAAATGGCAGCGGAGAGAGAACAGTAACGCAGCCAGTCCAATGGCTTTTGATCGCAAATCGATTCCACACTGTTCGCTCTCGAGAGAAGGAAAGCGAACGATATCGCGCCTCTCCCTAATAGTTCGAAGTTCAAACATTTCGAACAGCTTTGAACTAGTTTTTATCGATCGGGAAATTAAATAAAAATAAATTTCATTAAAGACAGTTGATAATTCGAGTAATTTTTATCGAAATTATCGAAATGAGAAATGACGCAAATGTTATTTACGTTGGATAACTTTAAATTTCTTCATTCGTTTTTATAACTTCCTTTTTAAAAGGAAATACTACGATAGGATTATTTGCAATTACAATGAATTAACCTGAAAGCCGATAAAGACTAAATACTGTCCGTAACAATTAAACAAACGGAACAATAGCTATCCCAAAACAGTTTTCCCTTTCAACAGCAACGCTTGAGAACGTTCGGCCAATTATTAACTTCCTTAAGGTGATTGAGTAAAAGTGGAACAAGATTTTCTGAAGAGTGTTCGTCGAACCAATCTGTTAGACTAGATTTTAATTCGTTATTCATAAAAAGATTTGAAAAGATGTTGTACACAAGTATTGACTATATTAATCTCTTTTAAATTAAATTATTAGTTTTATATATGTTTGAGTGTTATTATATTCGTGAGAAACTTTTGAAGGATCGAAATCAAAATAGAAAAATTGGCATGAAAAAATATCAGCCAAAATTTGTTTATTAAGTTACAATTGATGACTTGTGATGAATTAAGTGATATAGCTTCATTTATTTAATTTTTATTCAATAAATTAAACAAGTTACACTTTTGGATTTATTTTATCAAATTTAGATATCAATTTTTGTTAAAGACTTTTAAATGCTTCAAGGTGCTTCTTCGTCATAATTTGAACTAATATCTATTATCAGTGAAATTTTACAAGTTACAAATTGTATCAATAAATTTTAATCTTCGATGGATTTATTTGAATCCATTGAAATGAAATTATCTTTGATAAATATTATTATGATTATTTTTTTAATTGTATATAGAAAAAGTATATAAATATAAATAATAAAGAGTTTATAAAATGTGAAAAGAAAAATTGTTTATAAATTCAATTTTTTATTAGATCGTTCATTATTAATACAAATTTTAGTGACTTGTTTCTTGCCATCATCAAAAGTGGAATAAAATGTCTTTTGAAATAGCGAATGAATTAACGATAAATTAAAAATCTTTTGGTAATCATTGAGATGAAAATACATAATAATACGTATCAACGCAATGTGTATTCATTATTTTCTTAAAATGTCTTGAGATGATCATAAAATCTGAATATAATAATAATAAAGAACAATAAATTGCTACAATGTTTAATGAATCTGAAAATTAAAGACCTTATACTTATACATATTTACAATTATCAAATCAGATTTAATTTAAATTTTCCAACAAGAAAATGTGAGAAAAAACATTTTACAAACTTTTTTTCTTCTCTAAATATTTCATATGTATTTAAAAAGCGATTAATTAACATTAATTAAGAAAACTTGGTTAACTGAAATTAATATCTCGTAGATTATGCAGAATCTTCTTACAGATACTCTTTAAAATTATTATTTCATAAATTATTATGCAATTCAGATTGCATTTCGACCGCTCGAATCGCTCTATATCGAATGATTACACGCACTGAATGACGCTTCGTTCCTTGATTGATCAAACTTGAGATGATTCACTGCTCGCCGTTTCAATTAATGATCGTCTGTTGCCAGGGAATGAAATAGAAAGTGGCGGTATGTACACACGCGTAAAGGATCCGGTGAAAAAGGGAACACGAGGGAAAGAGGATTGGCGAGGATGAAATGAAAAGGCGAGGAGGGAGATCGAAATATTCGAGATCCAACATACCCTTTCACTTCTTCCATTTTCGTGTTCCGGCCTCTCGAGAGATTCTCCTCGCTCGAGGAGGGAACATTTTACCCCGCGCCACTTTTGCATCTCGTGACATTTCTCATTTCTTTTTTTCGAGATCTTTATTATTTATTATCATCTGTTGCCTTAATTTTCGTTAATTTTTAGATTCGAGTAAAAATGTCGAATATTGGCAGTTTCCTTGAAGACTTTCGAGGAAAAAGAAAGAAGTTTTCGTAAGATAAATCTTCATTTAGATTTGGTTCTTTTATTCATATTCATAAATTTACATAAATTTGCAATATGAAATCACTTTCATATTTTGAGAGAAATTATCGTGTCGAAATATTCGTCTCCTTTCTTTCGATTCGAGAAAAATATGGATTTATTGAATTAATATTCGAAACTAGTGTTATTTCTATATTTTTCTATTCATCTATTTACTCGTAAAACTTGTAATTATATATATTTTTCTTTTAAATAATTATTTAAAACATTTTAATATTCTAATGTTCCGACTAAGTTTTAATCGATAAGAAGAATTGTCTTTCAAACGTCTTCATTTCTGTTTTATCTTGAGAAACTTTTTTTCTCCTGATCTCTACATTATTTCTTTTTAGTTCTGTTAATTGAACGATTCGACGCTTTCGTTAATCGAGCAATATACTTTCGTTGAAGGAACGCCTCGGTGAAACCCTATTCTCCGATCTTTTCACCGGAAAAGAAAAATTTTTACCTTCCTTTTGAAAGGTGAAGTGGCTACATACCAAGCCAAAAATAGTCGTATTAAGATACACTTATTATTAAATACGTCCACGTTTTCCGCGTTTCTATTAGCATTGAGTAAAGAAAGTATAATCTTTGTCACTTCGTTCAACGAATACCTTTATCATTCAGTTTTCCTTCCTATTATTATGCAAACGTTAAAAAGGGGGGAGAAATAGTCTTCGTACCGTAACAATGGATTTTTATCGCGTTTTTCATTTTATTTCGATTATTCACCAATTTGTTTGATAAATGATAAATGTTATCAACAGTTATCATAGAGTTTATTTGACGAATCTACTAATTCAATTTGATCTAAAGTTTCTGCTCCACTGTTCGTTTCAATAATGGTAATCTTGTTAACAACACTCCTTTCCCTCTTGCAATTTTTCTCTCTCTTTGAAACTTCTCTTGAACACTTATTCATATTTTCTTAAAAATAACCAATACTGCAGATTATTATTATTATTATTATTATTACGACGATCTTTCCCAACTCGATCGATGATAATTCTGTTGAAAATTACTTCCGAATAAAAAAAAAAAAAGAAAAAAAGAAAAAGAAGCAACTTTTAAAAAGGAAATTCGAAACGAGTCTCGATCCAATTTAAAATATCACGCGGCGCGAGATCCACGAGAAACTCGTAAAGGAATGGTCGTGAACGCTCCCGTGGCGTTGACCTTCCATGTTGCACGTGAACATGTCTCGTGTAATAAAGAGAGCCTTCTCGAGGGGGGGGAGAGGCGGAGGCGGCGAGCAGAAAAGATCGAGAGGATCCCTCTCGTGTCCTCTCGCGATAAAGCGACTTTCTCGACTTTCGAACGTTCAGCCGGTCATCGGACCTCGGAGTGAAAGTAAACGGAGGAAGATGTGATCTTGGCATTCGATCTTTATTTTATTCTTGTTAGGTCGATCCGTCTTGGATCGCCGGTTAAGCGCTTAATTTTTAAACTTGGATCTTGAGAGAATTTTAATCTTGCTTAATATCTTTTTAAATGGTATTCGAAAAATCGGAAGGGAGATCAATGGAAGGTAATCGAAGATTCAGAGTTATATGTTGATGATCGAATTAACTGTTGAAATTTTGTCCAAAGATATTTGCTTGTGCGAATCGTCTGGATTTAATTAAAGGAAGAAGAGGAGTGTGTATTTTATTTTTTGTTTTATTAGAATCTCGTTGTCGTTCCTTAGAAAAATAAAGTTCATCTCGTCTCGACGATTAAATGCTATATTGCACAAATGCTAACACATACACGCACACGCGCACGCACAACTAAGGATAGAAAAGTTATTAATTAATTATTAATTAACTAAGGATAGAAAAATAAGTCAATCATTTTTCTCCCTTCGATGCGTACAATTTAAACGATTCGCGAGTTTGGTGCAAGAAAGGGGGAAAAATGCAATCCTCGGTTTTCGAGTAACTTTCTAAAGAAGAAAAGTGTGCTTGCTTATCTCGTCTAACTGTCCGTCGCAAAAAAAATGGTGGATAAAAAGAAAGATTACTTTCACTCGAAGAGCATAGCACACGTTAGACGCATAGTGTGACAAATACTCTGTTGCATGTCGATTTTGAATTATGCGATTATAAAACGGATATTAAATTTCTCAACTTTCAAAATCACAAATCATTTTCACAAATCGATCGAGCTTAATTTCTCGATATTTCTAATTAATATCTAATCTAGTCACAAACTTCAATCGTTACAATGTAAAACACTATTCCATTTTTAAATTCATAGTGAAACGAAATCGAAAGATAAATATTTAGAATATATAATTAGTTTGTAACATGTCAAAATTTAGAATGATCTTTTTTCCTTGCACTCAAAGTGCCATTTGTAATTATATTGGCCGTATACAATACGAAATAAAGCGAACAAATTGTCATTTACCATGCTTGTAGATAGAAAACTTGGGTTTCGTTGAGAAAAACTTTTTATTCTAAATTTCACCTCTAATTACGAAAAACGTTTAAAACGTTCCTTCTGTGCCTTCGAAGAAACAACCTTTCTCCGCGAACGTGTTAATCTAATTGCGCACGGGTCCCTCCTCCATGCATGTCATCATGAAAAGATACTCGTTTGAAAGAGAGCGTTTAAAACGAAATCCAAATCCTCTCCGTATCCTCTATCCATGAACAGGCTGCGCGATAGTCGGTATCGCCACGCTCACCGGCACGGAGACGGTGCTATAAGGAGAGGCGTGAACAGGCATTCTGAAATTCTGCGGCTGCTCCATAGTGTCCTCCTTGACGTCGTATCCTTGCTTCGGTTGAGCGAAGCTCGTTGGCCAATCGATGGAGCCACTGAAGCCTGCAGCGACCGAGCTGCCATCTGTCGAGTAACTCGCCGCCACGTGCTGGCTTTGATAATTGTTGGCAAAAGCGGTGGCCGGTTGGACAAGAATTGCGGCCAGGATTTGGTCATCTCTTGAAGCTTCTGCTGATACTCGTCCAGTGCCACCGTGTCCCTCAACACGATCCCCTCTTTACTGCCGCCGATGGTGGCCGATGGGACGCCACTCGGCAGCAACACGCCATCTTGCGGTTGAGCAGGCACGCTCTTGTACAGATCCACGCCCTTCTGTTGCACCAGAAGAATCTGAGAATCCTTATCCGAGGCAAAGGCTAAAGGGTTGTTCCCAATGATGTCCTTCTCGATTGATCTCGAGGAATAGAACTTTTTGCGATCGTTCCGCCTCTCGTTGTAGTTTAAGGCGGTCTCCGGGTCGGGGAAGAAGGTTTCCGGATACGAGGATTCGTACGATTGTCCCGATGGCGAGTAGTCGGAGTCGGGCGAGGAAAATTCTGGCTCCGGTTGGTAGCTTTGTTCCTGCAAGCTTGGCTTCCTGAAAACGATGAGAATAATGTAGGTAAAACAGTTCAATAAAATGGATATTGCGGGCATTATAATAGGAATTAAAATTTCCATTTCATCTAACAGCTTTATTCTTAGCACAGCACGAAGAGTAGAAGATACCAATGAATTAAAAAATTATTTTGTACAATCTTATTGAAGTAACTTTATTCTAACTAAATTCATCTGTTAAAATATTAGAAGAGAGAAGTCTTTTAATTTTCGAATTATGAAGGATAAGAATTAAATTTCATAATATTTCTAAATGATTCGTTCGCGCTATGTTATATTTGTTTATCGAAAATTTATTGAATATATACTTAGTTGAAATTGGAGTAAGAATATTGGTCTGAGAAATTGAACGGTTGTTCTACTGGCTGCAGTAGAATGTTTTACGGATGGCCAGACAAGTTACTGATCGTTGAAAATTCGATCTCGAAAGTGATCTTTTATCATATATTTATATATTTCGACATGTATAGTGCGCATAAAATGCAATTTAATTTCAAATTCTCAATATAAAATACCGATTACTTTCATACATTTCATTCAAAAAGTAAAAAGAAGAATATAAAGTCAAAATTAATAAATTACAATATATATATATATATTAATCTTTCATTTTAATTCTATTAAATAAAATAATTACAAATGAGACGTTAAACTGAGACTTCGAAAACTGAAAATTCTTAAAAAAATTAACGTATTATTATTAAATTTGTGTTCGAAGAGAAAAGAATTTTTGAGGAAATATTAAATTACTAAAAAAAGTATACTTTGGATACATTTTATTCCATCTCTAAAACACATTCTCACCTCTCACGACCAAATGAGAAACTGCCTTTGATCTTGTCATAAGGGATGTAACCTTTTCCAAACGAAATTGCGTGGCTGATGTCCTTCCCATAGGGAACACGCACGTGGTTAACGTGCTCGTAGCCTTGATCGAAGTCGTCTCCTCCGTGTGGGAACGGAGGGCTTCTGTACACGGACTTTTTCGAGAAATAGTGGGCGGGTGGGCCGTGATGGTACTTGTGGTAATGAACTTCGTTACCTAGGGACGATTTTCTGAAACGTGGCTGCCACGATGGTGCCAAACCACCACCACCACCATGGTACATGCGTCTCGTCTGTTGCGGAATCACCAGTACCACCTTGTTGCTGTGAAATAGAAAAATCTTGCTGAAATACAATTTTCAATTCAACTCTGTTGAAAATCGTATAAGCATTCAATCGGTTCAAAGTGAATCTTTCGACTCTCTTTTTTTTCTATTTTATTTTATATAAGTTTTGTGTACGTTATAATTTTATAATATTATTTATATTTGCAGTGGAATAAGTGCATGAACTCTGAAAATGATTTGAGTGATTCTTAAATGATTCGTAAATTGCGTTACAAAGTTTAGAATTTGATACGGTCTGATAACGGAGGATTACGTTGCAATTTGCAAGGATACTTACGCATAAGTGATCAGAGGCTCGCTCGTTAGCAGCAACGTGCAGAAAGCCTGTAAACAGGGAGATCGAATGAGATATATTTTTTTGGAAATAAGAAATTCCTTATGCATATAGCATGTAAAAATAGAATTTTATTTAATTTCAAAGATCATCGTTTGAGTAGAAACCAATCATCACCCAATTGGTATTTGTTGCAATCTGATTAATCTTGATTAACGAAGAGTGTAATAATAAAAATTAAAAGCTTAAATGTTGAAGTAAAAGATAAAATTTCTCTCGATTCGATATTTCGTTTCAATTGCTTGTTACAAATGCGTATATTTATAATTCTGTTCAATTTTTTTGTTCAACTTACAACTTCATAATTCAATAATCAAACATTTGATATATAATTTAAGAATTTTAAATCCTCGTTGCATCGATTTAATTACGATAAAATATTAATTTCTATTGGATACGCACATTACAACGTGCAATTATAAATTGCATGAGTTTTTTGAATTTTCGAAATTGTATCGAAAAATCTTCTTTTATTCAATTCTTTCTTATTATTCATCAAAACTGAAATTCATAAACTTGACACGTTCGCTACAGCATTCATTACGTGTCAATATTTTTATTATAAATTTTTAATATCCGTTTACCATTAAAAAGAAAATTTAATTTACTTACTATTGCGAGTGACAAAAAATAAAAAATCGTTAAAATAACGAAATATTAAATAATTTTTCAACGACAACATTTCAAATTCTTTTCCACACACGTTGCATATTATAAATCCTCTGATAATTCTCTTCAAAAACCGAATGTTGCTCTCTTGAATCAATAACAACTACAAACTATTTGAGTATCAAGAATTTCACTTACAATCTACGTGCTCAACGTCCAACGAAAATAAACTTTAAAACCGGACAGCAAGTAATCCACTTACCGATATATACCTCATGTTGCCAGCTCGGCTCGACGACAAAAGAAATTGGATCCCAAGTTTGGGGGGTCGTTGAAAATGGCGGATGGATCCGCGCCCTCGACGAACGCGCGCAAGGCTTCGGCCGTGCGTCTCTCGAACCGATTGCGAACAAATTGCGGGAGGCTGGTGCACGGCTGTTCTCTTTTATACAAGATAAAAAGAGCATAATCGTTGGGCGAGCGTGTGCACCTCCCACCGGCAAAGGAAAGAGATCGGCCGGTGGCGTGCCGATACGAAACGGCCGGTCGAGCGCGAGCCGGTTGCAATTTTTGTCCACGGGGAAATCGACACTTTCTTCTCTTCTCTTCTCTAGGCGGCCGCGCCCCGCGCTTTCCAAAACTCGAGCAACAAGAACCAAGGAGAATCGGCATACTCGAGAGAGGAGGAGGAGGATAGAAGGTTGATAGACCTTGAACCTGATTTCGTGGGAATTGTGGTCTCGTTGTTGTTGAAGTTTTTTTTTCTTTTTTAATAAAGATGGATTTGATCGTATCGTCAAATGTTCGAAGAATGGGAAGAAAATTTTTATCTAAGCTTCGTTTCTTCGTGGATAATTCGTGTTGGAAATTATTTTGGAGCTGATTTCAGAAATGGCAAAACTCGTTCGAATTCCATTGAGAAATCACACTCGTCACCTACTTTCATTAATGCAGCCCTATCGTATTTCAAGCAGCTAACTCGTTCACTCTCACATAATCGAACTAGTTCATGGCTACATTGATCGGAGAAGAGAAGCAAAGCCGGGTTTGTAATGGATGAAATATCATCGTATCTTCTCTCGAAGAAGAAACGAATTTTTCATTTTGAAACTCTTCTTTCGTCTAATTCTTTTATATCGTATCATGCCTACTCTCTAATTTCGTATGCTAATCGGAGACGCAACGATGAAATAAAAATCTTAGTTTATTCGTGTTTTCAAGTTTCCAAACGAGGGAAAACCATTTCTGAAACTATTCGTCAAAATCATCGCGATTTTTAAATTGGAAAAAAAGAAAAAGAAAGAAACGAAAAAAAACAAATGATAAATGAGTGAAAGTGATAATATTGAAAGTCTCGTAGACTGATATTTTCTCGATTGTGATTAAAAAAAAATCGCAGAAATCTCTGTCACGATCGAATAATATCTTTATGCTTGTAGATTCGAAAAAAAGAAGTTTAAGATTAATTTAAGGAGGAAGGAAATTGATCGAACTGGCAATTTGCTGAAGTGTGTACGCGCTTATCAGCGCTACAGATAATGCGGTAATAGTGAAATCTAAAGAAGGAGTAACATCGATTTAGGAGTTACACACGTGTTGTGAACGATCACTTTCTCTCCTCCTCGAGGAATCTCTCCTTCTTCTTGCATGACTATCTTGCATCTAAGTGTAGTAAAATCTTGATGGAGCCATATAACCTTGAGCCATCGTTCAGATAGACAGTTTCGTTCGTGGAAATTTGCTGCCAGGAGACAGTCTTTTGATTAATTATATCGAGACGACACGACGCATAAGCATGTGACGTAATTGAAATTCCACATGATGATGCAAAAGCGATGCTTTTAGCTCTGCTCGAAGCGAAAACTACGTTTTCGCGTAAATTTTATTGCATTGGTATTTTTTTACATTTTTTACATATACGCGCGCAATGTTTACAATGACGATAATAAAAAATACGATAAAATTATCAAATAATCAATTATCAATTTTTTCAATTTACAAATTAAAAAAAGTTATTTCATCTTTATTATACGATTAATCAACGATCAAAAATTAGAATAAGAAAAGTAATAATCTTTCTTCTTGCATTATATTTTAAATTTATAAAATAAAGGAGAAAAATATTCGCATCATGACGGATTCTAAGAAAATTATAAGAAGAAAAAGAAAGAAAGAAAGAAAGAGAGAAGATGAAAATAATTTGATGATCGTGCGCGATTCAAAGAAGCACGAAAGCAAAGAAAATTATTGTAAGAATCGTATTCGTGAATTTATTCCGTAGATACGAATTTTACTGGGAGAGAGTAAATGACTTTAATAGAGAAATTCATTATGCCAAAGTATTTACGTAAAGTATATTTACATATGATAATTTATTTACAAATGTTCGAATAATATTACGAACGATACAACTAATCGTTCGAATTATGGCGCGAATTTCGAATTTAAAAAAAATAAGTAAGCATATAAATAAGATGCATACGCACTGTGACAAAGATAAAAATACGAGTCGAGTAACGTTGCGAACGATGTAGCGTCGACAGTCTTTTTCATAACATCATGTATCGATCGATCTACATTCTTGAATTCCATCGAGCGAAAGATTTTTCACTCTGCCGTGAACGACCGTTTAATGAATCGAAGATCAAGGTCCTTTCTGCTGATCCTGTTACTTTCTATCGACGAACATCTATCTTGGTATGGAAATGCGAGAAGAAGGAATCGTGAGTCACAGAGAAAGACTAACTTCCTGGGTCATATCGACGATTTTATCTTATTTTATTTATTATTTTTTTCAATAATTGCTTCTTATATCTTATAGCTTTATTATTACATTACAACGATATCGATAACTATAATTATAATTTCGCTATAAAGAAAGATCCAGAATCAGTCTGAACTCGTTTTAAAATCTCTACTTTCACAGCTCCGACTTCGTTTTCTTCAAAGATGTTTTTGCAACAGACGGAAAAGCAAAAGGTACTTTTCTTCTCCGAAAAATTTAAAAAGTTCAAGTCAGTTATGAAAAATCCAAATCCACGCTTAAGACTTAAAAATTAAACTCTCCCCTTTTCAAAACTTGTCGATACGATTAAACAAAATAAAATTCAAATACGAGTTTATATCCCTGTGCAAAAATATATTAAAAGTAAACCTAATTGAGCGGAAGAAATATAACAAATCCTTCAGAATTTTTACCTTCTTCGAATCGATATATAATAAACCTGTTGAAAAATTAATCGATCGGATTTATTTAAAATAACGCGTCAAAGTATACTTTCGAAAAGTTTAAACACTTAGGCTTATAACCTTCCTTGAATATCTAGAATAGAGTGGAGATTTCACTGTCACGGTCCCGCGATCCTCGAGGGGGGGGAAAAAAAAAAAGAATAAACGCGTTGCTCGTTTTTGTTTTCGCTCCGCGATCGGAATGCGCGCAATCCGAGCGCGGGCCGATTTTACGAGGCGAGGCGAGATCGGTTTCCCTTTCTCTGATCGTGTGGAGCACGCGATCCTAGATGGATCGATTTACAGGCCGCCGATTTCTATGGATCCTCCCTCTACGGATTCCTTCTCGAACGCGGATGGATACGCTTGGTCTCGTGAAAGGGAACACGCAACTAACTGGCCCGGTGAAACGCCATCGAGAAGAAACTTCCAACTCGGGGAAAGAGATACATTTTCTCCGGCAAGGAATCTTGGAAATACCTTGCCCTCGATATCGCGACGTGAGATCTATTGTGATCGCCGATATTCCGTGAAATATTGTCCATATTTTCCTTTTTGCAACTTGTTGCGCGAATCGTAAGAGAAAATCGTGGAACAACAATCTGAACTGAATTTTTAAAGCGTGAAATCATCGCTTTCACTGTTTTCCTAGAGTTTTTTCTTTTTTTTTTTGGCGTAGCATAATAAAAGATACTTCTCTTTGGAAAAAAAAAATTGGATGTAAACAAAATTTTTTTCGAATCACTGAATCCATTTGTCGAGTTGGAGATTGAAATCTTCTTATTATTGAATTTTAAATATAACGAAGAAAATTCAAGAAAATGATGATGATGGATCATTGATCTTTTTTTTTTTTTTTACAACATATAATAATTTCTTTTTGTTTATACGTAGAACTTTTATTATTTCAAAGAAGAAAAACTTTAAAATAACAACTTTGATAAATATGAAAATTTCAAAATTCAAATTTTGAAAACAAATTGTTTGACGACAGAGAATGGAATAAAAAATCAAAACTTCCAAAGGGAAAGACTTTTTCTTTTCTTTGTAATATTTTCTTTTTTTAAAATATATGCAAATATTCAAATAATATTTATAAACAATTCTCAATGCACAAAGCTTATATCTTTCTAGCAATGAAATTATATTTATATATCATGCTACCTCGCTATATCGATTCCATCGACTGTACACTCTTGATCACGCAATCTTTTACTCAGGATCAAGTTTAAGATCAAGTTCATATCGGTTTATATCTACTGAATTACTATCGTAACAGCATCACACGAGACATGTATACACGTAACATTTAGATAAAAGTTGGCAATTTGTCACTGATGCTTCTTCTACTCGTCAATCAAATCAGTCGTTAAAATTGCTGCATCTTATTAGTGGAGACATACAAGAGAGTCAACTTTCGTTCTTTTAATTAATCATTTATAGTTGGAGATATAATTTAATATTAGATTTCAAAAAAATCACTTACACAAACATGAGTATTATCGTAATCGTTAATTGAATAATTGGTTAAGGTTATACATTAATCAATCGATTGATCAACCATGAAGTGATTAATTATTGCATTTATTTTATTTAATCAGCTGATTAGTTACTGTCTTGCGAGTTTTTATACCCATTTACAACAAAGTATAAATATTTTTGTACCAAGATTTAATTAATCGTCAGCTTCCTTATTTGCTTCGAGTTTATAAATTTATGGAACATTAATAAATTGTTTTTAAATTAATCTCACTTTCTAAATGTTTCTAATATGAGACTTTATGCTATTCTTCTATATAAGATATATAAAATTATAATAGAAACATATTTTTGAATTACTATTTGTGTGCTGTTAATATATTATAATTTTCACTTCTTGTTATAAAATGCACAAAATGCTACAAATGGAGCCATGTATTTATTTGTTCAAATTATCTTGAAGAAACGAAAAAGAATAAGTGATTTTTTAATTTTAGATATAAATAATTTTAATTTATCGATATAAACCAATCTTTAATTAATGCTTCCTTTTCGTTTCATTGGATACCCGAATATTATATTATTATTGTATGATAATTGATATGATATGACAATCGTTCGCCATTTACATTCAGATTAAAATAAATTCAATTAATTGAATCTTTATTAAACAAATAGTTTGTAATTTAAATATTTTTTGTATTCAAAAATATTTTTGATCCTATCAAATGGAAACATTAAATAAAATATTGCGTCTTCGATGCAAATTTTCGAGATTAATTTATACTATGACACGATGTCATAATTTTAATTGAGATTAATTACGGAGTGATAAAATATAGAGATAAAATAATACTTTCGAGACGATCTCTTAGATCTCAGAAATTATATATAAGTGGAACCACGATGCATTATAATGACGAATAATTTAGCTGGTATTCTTTTTATCAATTAACTATAACTATATTTATTTATAGTTAAGATGAGATTGATGAACACATTTCATTTTGATGGAGTAATAATAAAATATTTTATGCAGCTTAAGACATTGCTTAAGACATTCACTGTAAATTCTGTTTATCTCTTATATGAATTATTATGAAACTTCTACGACTTTTAATTAATATTCTGTGAATAAAATTTACATTCTAAAACTTGCGTATAAATTGATGTGTAAATGAATAAATCAGTTATATAAATCAATTGATTCGATATTGGAGAGTTTTTTCTCGAAGAATTTGAAAATTAATAATTGAGACACGAAGGAAGATGAGATTTAAATAACAAATATACTTATTTTTTGATACATACATTTGTCACAAAATTTATTATTTAAATTAATTAAATCAATTATATTAAATTTTAACTAAAATTAAATCATTGATGATTAACATAATCTGAAAAGAAAATTTAATATTAGAAATAATCAAACTCACTGTTTTGAAATACAAAGTAGATATAATATCATGAACATTGATGTAACAATTATACATAAAGACAGAGGAAAAAAGAATTTAATTTTGTAGAAACAAACACAAAGTATAATCGAAAGAAATACGATAAATTTCATTGCAAACCTCGCGTAAGTCAAAAATTTCTCCGCGAAGATCCAAGATCCCAGAAACTAACCTCAAAAAGAAAATCTATCCAAAAGAGAGAGTGAAAACAAAATAATCTCTAAAAAGAAACAAAAACAGAAGAATAAAACACTCGAAAACACGGAAAAGTTTTACGGTTCACGTAACATAACCTCGTCTGCTCGACCGTGATCCACCTGTATCCACTGCTTTCGAGCGTCTCTCTCCTCGATCGGTAAAAAAGAGTCATCCCAGACGTTCATCTCGTTAACCAAACGAGTGAAACAAACCGCGAGTGCACCCACCTCGTCGTGTTACGACGGTGATCTTGATCTTGGCCGTTCACCCAACCCAAGTCCAGCTTTCATTAAAAAGACGATAGTACACTGTGTGTGGCAAAGGCGGTGGAGACGCGAGGTGGCGTCGAAACGGATCGGAACGGATCTAGGAACGTGTAGAAGAGGAAATGAACAAAACGATGGGATCGAGGTGAAGGGTAGGCAACTTTAGGTGGAGGGGGTGCGCTGGTCCTCCGTTTTTTGCCACGTCTTCTCTATTAGACGGTACTCCTTTCACGTGCATCAGTTTTACGCTTGCAAAAGATTCCCTTTCATTCTTATCCAACTCCAATCACGTACATGTATAAAAGCGGCGAGCGTGTGCACAACCGTCAGCAGATCAAAACCGCGGCTGAAACCGCCAACTGTATCGCGAAGGATAGGAACCGGTAGTTCTTTCACGCCTCTATTATTGGCCCTCGAATCATTCCGCTCCGAGCTGGTCTTTAAACTAACGAAACCAGTGGGTGCAACACGATGACCAAGCTCGCGGTAAGTTAATTCTCGGCTTGAAACTCGGCTTGAAGGTTGCGCGGGAAATTTGAAAAGATTTTTCTTTCCTCTGGCGAATTATTGGTAATTTGATTCGTAAAAATTAGAATAACTGAATTTGAGATAATTGAATAATGAAAAATTCGAAAAATTTTTTAGATGATACAATCATTTTGGATAAATCGATCGTTAAAGTGAATTTTTTAGCGAAATTTTTGGTATTTATTATTATTTCGAGAATAGAATATTTTATATTGGATTAATGTAATTCGAGATAATTTGAATTTAAAATAGTGTGTTATAAATAAAAAATTTAATAAAAAGAAGGAAACTAAATTAACAATATATAAAAAGTTTCATTAATGTTTTTCTTATTTTTGAAAAAATTCTTCTACTAAAAAAAAATTCTCAATGTCTTTGAATAAAATGCTCCATTTAATGTTCCTTTTTCTTTTATTTGTCAAGATATGTTGCAATATTCCATGAATTTTTTACTTTTTAAATAAAACAAGAAAACTTGCACGAATTTTTGAGAAATAACAAAATTTAACAATTCTTTTTAACTAAAAGATTTTGATACAGAATTTTGAGGAAATCAGAATTTATTGCGGAAAAAATTTAAAAATTTCCTAGAAACCTTCTCAAAAAAGAATTGTCCTATCAAGAGAATGTTGGAGAATTCTTATAGTTTAATCCGAATTACAATCACGAAAATCATAAAAGACGAAATTTCACGTATTTCACATTGCAGAAAAAAATCCCATTAAATTAAAATTTCTCTATGCGTAAAATACGATGCTCGTTTAAAAAGTTACTCCAAGAAAATTCCAGTAGCAATTTAAACTCGCTTAAATTTCTCTCGATATACATATTTTGCATGTATAATGCCAATATTCAGAAATTTTCCACGCTGGTTAAATCGAGTTTTTTCTTTTTTCTTTTTTTTTTCCAGGCCGTCTTTGTGGTTGCCTCTTTGCTCAATTTCGCCTCCGCAGGACACCACGGTGGACAGTGAGTTTCTTTTACGTCCGTACGCAATATGTCGTCCACGGCTATTTGCCATTTACTGTAATCAAGCGGAAGTGTAGCTATTTACCAGCAATCATAAATCAAAGTAACGAACCATGAAGTCGACCCACGACTTTCTCTAGATATTTTGCTTATCGACGGTCAATTTTCCTCCAACAACCGTTATCCTACGTAAGAATAAACCAGAACGAATTCGTTCTTTCCTATTCAATGATTCAGGAAGCGTTTCGTTTCTGCGTCATTACGCGCACGATCGTCCGTGACGAAATTGACAAAAAATTAATCGAAAGAGTTAATATTTTAACTCGCTTATCATTCACAAGATACATATAATCGACGTAAAATATAGTGTCAATGAAAATGAATTCTTTATACACACATATATATATGTTTTGATACTGCGAAATAGACGTGTCCCTAAAGACTTTTTGATGATTAAACCACTGTATACAACAACATGAATTTCCATTTTTCTTATAATTTTTTTATTAGAAAGTTGGACGAGAACTTTTCCCATCTATAAATGCCACTCGATGGTGGAGAAAATAGTTATTTCGAATCAAAAAAAAAACATACATTCATCTGTGAAAAAACATTAAGCCAAAGTAAAAGTAATTCGAATAAAATTTCCAGCGATCACGTGGTGATCCACGTGCCCTACAAGATCAAGACGATCCATCACACGCACACCATCACCAAGCACATCCACCACGGCGGCGGGGGTGGCGACAAATACGAGGTGCTAGGGTACACGGTCGGTCACCCCATAGATTTGGGAGGTGGCCACGGTGGTTTCGGTGGTGATTTCGGAGGCGGCGGTGGCCACGACTTGGGAGGCGGCGGCGACTTGGGCGGCGGCCATATCGAATACAGTGGCGGCGGCGGCGGCGGCGGTGGCCACATCGAATATGGCGGCGGTGATATCGGCGGAGGGTATGGGGGCGGTGGAGGATTCGGTGGAGGCCATGGAGGCAGTATTGGTGGCGGTGGATTTGGAGGAGGAGGAGGCCTTGGTGGCCACGAAGACTGGGGTGGCCATTAACGGGATTGTTGTGCTGCCAATTTTGGGAGGGGAACGGTAGTTTTCTTTGGAAAAGCTCGATTGGCCGTTCGAAGCGCGCTTTCGACTCGATTTTATCCTGTTTCGTCGGATAAGAAAATATTCTCAATTCTTCGTTCAGTTTCCTTTTTTTTCTTCTTCTCGAGAAACCTTGCAACGGTGGCGATGATTATCAAGCGTGTAATTGTACAGTTGTCCAGCTTTCGCTATTATAATAATTCTTTTATGAGATTTTAAAATTGAAAAAGGAAATTGGAATACGTAAAAGTACTTCCATTTTCGAGAAGGTTTTACTAGAAAGCATATCGAAATTGCGCTTCAAAGCATCCACATTTTCACATTTTAATCGTTATTTTCATTTCTTTCGATGCCAATCGACTTTTTATCACTCTGCCACTTACCTCTCGTCCTAGTCTTTCTATTATCGTACTTCGTACTTGTTAATGTAAATATTGTTACTCGTGTTTCTTTTTTTTTTTTTTTTTTTAATTATTGTTATCCCATGTTATAATACATCGCGGTTCGAATGAATCTATGTATAATTACGTCGTGAGAAAGATTGATTAAATTGCGTGTGTACCTGAAAAAAATCGCTTCCCTTTCGTATTATATTTCCTCTCTCTTTTATTTATCACGCTTAACTTAAACACAATCAATAAAAATTCATATCGAATCACGTACAACATAAACAGATTGGAACGAAATCTTTCCAATCTTGTACAGATTTTACGAAATCTCTACGATTTTACGAAATCTTTCCCGCTCTCCGACCTTCGTGATGACGTTTGTCCCTGGTATTCTCGTACTCCACGTCGTCGACCAAGTATCTGCCGGCGCCCGTCTTCGTTTCAAACTCGTCCTTGAAGCCGTCTCCGCCCTGCTCCCCTTGCTCCTCGCGGCGATCCTCGTGGAACTTGCGCGTCTGATCCGCTCGAACGTGCCCGCTCTCCACCTCCCCGCCCTTCCTGTACCCCTCCTCGTAATTGTAAGACACCGTCTCCGTGTTTGGGGGCAAGTCCTCGTCCACGTCCTCGTGCACCGCGTAACCGTCACGATCCCTCTCCTCCTCCAGTTCGTTGCCCTCCAGCGAGGGAAGCTCCTTGTGATAATCGTGGAGATGCTTGTGCTTGCGCCGTTTCTGATTCCGTTTCTCGTCGTGATAGGTCTCGTGGTCGAGCTCGTGATCCCCGTACTCGTCCCTGTGATTGTGGTAGCGGCCACGAGTCCACGAGCTCCAATTCGAGTGGTACTCGTGCCTCTGCTTGTAGGCTCTCGTCGGTTTCGTAGGCGTTGGCACGTGGACGTGGAGGAGCACCGTCCTCGTGTGAGTGTGGTGGTTGATCACGTCGGGCACGAGGATCTTGAGGTGCAGGCTGCGAAAAGGGAATTAGAGAGTGGGTCTCCTTGGGAGGAAACGATCGTTGACAATTCGAGGAACTTACCGTTTCGAAGTTACACCGACGTGCATCGTCGCTTGGTTCAGCAGAAGGAGGCACAAGTAGTTGAGGAGTTGCTGGAAAAGAATGTAATTGAGATAATTGATCGATAATTGACTGTTTAGATTTTTCTTGTGTTGCGAAATACTTTTCTCGTGTGTTTATTATATACAGTTTTGGATACTTTGGAGTATTTGGAATATTTCTATATGCTTTCGTTACCATGTTGCTCGTTCGAAGAGAGCAAGTATCGAGAACAGTGGTTCAATTTCGTTTGACATCTGCTGGCACGCTCCTCGTTTATATTCCGCCCTCTGTGAACGGGGAATACTATGAAATTGCGAGATTATCATTTTACGGACGATCAACCACTTTCGCCGTTTCGAGATATGCTCCGTCTGCCAATCCGCTTCGAATTCGACACGCCTTGGGAAAAATGTGTCAACGTGGACGGTGGTAAGGTCATTGCCACGCCGGAAGGAGGATTATTGTTCAATAAACGCGGTTATCGATCGTTGCTGCGGTCGCTTCTCTATTTTTTACTTCGCTTGTTTCACTCATTTATCGACGTAAATGTAAAAAGAAGTAACGATGGAATCATATCTTTGAACGAAATAAAGTTTTATTCCTCTTTGTTGGAAAGAAATAAGATCTCATTTTAATGCATCGTATTTATACTGTTTGTACTTAATTATCGTATTATATTTAACAATTGGTCGCAAGGAAATTTGTGAATTCGTAGTTTTGACGATTCTTCTAATTTTTAATTCAATTTTAATTTTAGAGAAAATAGATTTATTCTTTAAATAAACTCGTTACACAAAATATACTGGTAAAACATCTTTTTGAGAGAATCTACTATTATACATATTTGAATACTTTTTCTACTAACTATATTCGTTGGGTTGAATTTTATACTATGCACTATGTTATATATATATATATTATTTACTTATAATTAAAATTATTTCTAATAAATTTCATATTTATCCTCCTCGAAATCTTCCTTCTTATCTTCGTGATAATGCGGAATTATTTTGTAAATCGTGTGCACGTGCTTCACGTTCTTCACCCGATAGGGAACATGGATAATCACCTTCTTCCTGTTACATGAAAATATATCGAAATTAATATACAACTAAAAAACCACAACATTCAGGTACTCACGATTCGATTGGTTGTTGTAGCAGCAAGAGCAACGCCAATAAAGCAATAGCATAACTAAAAAAAAAAAAAAAAAAAAAATAAGAGAAAAGAAAAATAAATATTTTGGAATAAAATTTGTCTTGGAGTAAAATCTACCATCCCTCACCAAAAATGTTCCTTTCATTCTGGATAAATGAGAAAATTTAACTGCTTTGCCAAAGCAAAGATATTTTAACCGCTTTGAGAAACGGACAATCTCTGCTCGCGATCGGTACAAATCTAAGGTTTATATACATGCAGCTGAAATTAGCGAGGCGAATCGTCTCCATAAAATGTTCTGAGAAACTCCGCCCAACGCGCAAGGATCCTGGTAACGCTGTGTGCTTTCTTTTCACTTTTCTGCTTTTCACCAAACAATCATCAACATCTCGTGTTTGCGCTTGTTATCATGCGAGACATGCGTGAGAATTTCTACTGTACCGAGTAATCGATCGTCTGGCGTTCGTCTGGCACGCGATGCACGCCATTATGCCCGAGGAGTTGGCACTCGACGTGTTACGATACCTGTCATCGATCCAATTTTCTATTAAAATATCAATTTAGAAATCCTGTAATTTCTTACGGTTTTTGTTTATTTTTAACTGTCGTTATTACAAATAATTAATAACGAATAAAATAACAAATATATCGAAAAAGTAAAACTAGTCGTTTTCGTAATTACGTTTTTATTAAAAAAAATTCTTGTATAATTGGTTTAATAGAAATATGAATCTTTGCAATTGTTCAAAATTCATTGTTCAATTTTAGTGTATTTTATAATTAATGATAAATGTAAAAGTTATAAACGAAGAAATTATGCTCATTCATATTTTACGTTTGGATTAATTTTTCGAACTAATAATCGATTGCAAATTGATTAATTCGTTCAAGATTCATTCTATCTTTTTTATTAAATATTGAAATAATTTTTAAGAAATTTTTAAAAAAATCTTTTATTAGTTTTAGGTAAAAAACTTTCAAACATGAAAATAAAATTAAGATTCTGAACAAGTTTTATTTCTGATTTTTAATTTAACAACCAAGAATTCTCGTTTTTATTAGGATAGAATCTTTGTATTTCAACTATCTAAAAAAGAAAATCTCTTCTTAATTTTTAAAAGATTTTTCGGTCGAATTAAGTTTAGTAAAAATAATAAATTAATTAAATTCGATAAAATCTTGATCCTGATGACGATATTCATTAATAACATTCAAACATCAGTTAAATATTTTCTAATTTACGTAATCACCATTATTAATATTAAAATTATATTTTTTCTGATAGTTATACTTTAAAATTTAACGATTTCACTTATTGTTTAGTATTCTTTTTATTAAAGTATAATAATTAATTGAAAGTTAATTGTGAAAGATCAATAAATAATTTATTTTTCTTCCCGTCACTTCTAATTATTTTGATATATTTTATAATTTTCTTATAATTACATCGTGTTTTAAAAAAGTCAAATAACTATCGATTTATTTCGCAAACAAGAAATCGCTCTTCGAGAAGAGTTTCTAACCGCGCACAAGTGATCGAAGAAACTGCATTCAGGAAACGGAGGAATCTACGATACTTCCTCGAGATGCATCCAACCGAGAATTGTTCGATTCGTGGCACGCATGCATTTTTATTTAATGAAAGAAGATCATTAACGGGATTGGAAGCGACCGGGAGAACTTATTTCAAATCCAAAAACAATTCTAACTAGTTCATTATCGAGTATCTTAATTGACTGAATTTGTTTCTTCTGTTGTTTAAATTACTAATTAAAACTATCTTTAATTGCAATATATCATAAGAGAAAATATTGATAAAAATTTTTTCTTATTTTCTTATTATTATTACAGAATTGGCTGCTACTGCAATATTCAATAAAAGATTAACATATGAAATGTTATAAAATATAATATAAATCTTTCAACAAAATTGGCTGCTTAACTTGTAAATTTATCTTTTATTGATGTAATAAGTGAGAGATTAACGCTGATAAACTTCGGTAATTTCGATTTTTTAAACGGAATAAAGAGTAAATTGTAATCATAAATAAAAACCTTTTTAAAAGTGAAAAAGTTTCGTAAAAATGATAAATCGCACATTCTATTAATTATGTATATGAGTGAAACGATTAATACATAAATCGAATAGCGTTTAATTATATTTTTATATTTCACGATTCTTGGCGTAAATGTATCAACCTTATCTTGCATTCGGATCACTTCGAATCAAACGAGTCACGAGATATAGGCATTACCGATAATCAATTTTCTAATCTTTCTTAAAGAGAGATAGTATTTAAAAAAAATATTTGTATAAATAATCGAGAAATTTATATCGCGTGTTGAAATTGCATGAAATAATTTTAATCGTTTTAATGAAGAAAGTAATTTTGAAGAATGTGGCGATTGATCGTTCCATCAAGATCGAATCAGACAAAAAAAAAAAAAAAGAAAAAGAAAAACAACTTCGCTTTCCATCCATGTGTAATCCTATTATGAACATGTCACGCATAAGTTACTCTTTTAATACAATTGTATTATAGTTAGACCGTGAAAAAATGGATTATCAAAGCTATTAAGAAAGTTTTAAACGCGTTTTAATCAATTTACATATGCATCTGGGCAATTAATAGTGAAAATTGTCCGTGAAATAGAAAGTAAAAGATAAAAAAAAAAAAACCAAGTGTTCACTTTTACATGATGCATAATTGAATTATGAGATATTTAGAATATTAATCGAGTGTGAAATAATCGAGTTAAAAAGAAAAATTTATGAATTGTGAGAAATAATTAATGAATTTTTTAATCTACGCATAATCACACATAAATTTCGATCGTTTTTTTTTTTTAGAATCATTCTGATTAATTCATTTCTAGAATAGATTGATTTTCTCAAAGTTTAACCTTTTTATAAATTTTACACGCTTCTAGAGAGATTTCAAATTAAACGGATCCACTGTTTAAAATAATCAGAGCATGTTAATTTATCATGTTCAATATTTCAAGAGCTTCACGTTCCAAATAAATCTACAATCAGCAAAAATGTTATTCTAACAGTTTATATTGAGCAAATTATAATTTACGGTTAATACTCTGTATTTAAAAAATACAACAGTTTCTCCGGATAAGTAATAAAAACAATTATCAAATCAATTATTTTTGATAAAATTTTATTTTAACAAAAATATTTTTGCTCTATCTAATTCTTGAATATTGTAATTGTAATTGTAATTGTTCACAATAAATGGCGCCAATTCTTTACTTTTATTTTAATATGTAAATTGACATTTTTATCTATTTCGCTATTCATATGTTAACATTATACCAAATAATCTTAAAAAGTAACTCGCACTAAATGTGTTATTAACCAAAATCAACAACAATATAGCAAATTAACAAAGAAGAGTAAATCTAAATAAAAATTCTAGAAGATCACACTAAAGATTAAGACTGTTTGTTTAAAAAATATTTTTAATGCATCATTCTGAACGGACTCGCAACGACTTCAGCATCAAAGCATGTTTTGCGATCCATTTCTCGACGCTGCTCCCCTGAATTATTTATATTCGACTCGACTCCACATTGTTCGTCGATCTCGTGCTTTTGTTTTCCATTCTTTTTCCAAATAACACCCTTGCTTCTTTATCGCGACTGTTCCTCGTGAATAATTCATCGCGATCATCATTAGACTTCCGGGACGCCTCTGAAAAACGCATCACCGTTGCGTTTGTTTCTTTCTCGAGAACCTCTATGACTCTGTTTGTTCGCCGGCTCTATTGCCTCTTTCGATCGCAGATTTACGCCTCGAAGCACTCTCCAATGACTATCGACGGGTTTAGATACGACGGGATCCATTTCTGTTGATTTGAATTCCCCGCCATCGCCGTTCTTCTTAATGGCGGGCTCCACGCTTCCGTCTAGGTTAAGGTATCTCATGTTCTTGCTCGCGAATTTGATGCTGTATTTTGGGCTCGTTGATTCGTTGGAATCGTTGTACGATTGAACTTGTCGATTGATCGAAGTTTCAGAGATTCGAGGATTCGAGAATATTTGGTCGCTTGAGAATGATTCGAGCGGAGCGATCGGAGTGTTCGTGTAAGAAATTTGCTCGAAGAACGACGCATTTATGGGATGGTGAATTTGTTGGAAATCGACGGTCAACAGTTTGGAATCGTCTTCGCTGTTGGAATCATTCACGGACGAATGGAATGGATACGATTCTTGATAACCATTCGATCGAAGATTATTATCTTTCGTTTTATTTATTTCACCGGCCTGTTTCAAACGAGAAATATGATTGATATTGTTTTTCGTTATGAAAAACGGATTCCTCTTGTGATGTCTGACTTTTTGGATACCGTCCACGTTACCGTGTTTAAAACTCAGCTTATACGTCCTCAAACTGTGCTTCCCTGCGGAATTAGCTTTAGCTTTCTGGCCAAAATTATTCGTCGGTTTCAAAACTTGGCCCACGTTGTTACTGGAGGATAACAAACTGTCCGACGAGATTGAATGAACGTCGCCGTGTTGATCGTACGATTTCAACAGTTCGTGGTTGGACAAAGAAAGAGGCTCGTGATCGATGGTGGAAATTTCGGGATGTTCTGTCAACTCGCTGGGCGGAAGGATATTTTTCTCGAACGTCGACTGGATCTCTGTGATCGGCGAATGCGATATCAATCGTATCACCAGGTGTTTCGAGTTAAGCGGTTCCAAAAGTCGAATGTACACTTTGTCGCCCACTCCTGGGAAATGGAACGGTCCAACGAATGGGCCCAACGCTTTCGAGGGATTGATTATTTTGTGAATCACGTCAACGATCGAGTCGAAGATGTTTTTGCTCTTGCTCACTCGGTATATGGGCTCGATTCGAATCGATCCATCCTCGAAAGCTGCCGCAGGTCCTTGTATGGTTTCGAATTGTTGATTTTCCACGTAATTCTCGTTAATATCGTACGATCTCGTTTTGGCGGCCGAATGCTGGAGCTGTCTTCGACGTCGGTTCACTTTGTATCGATTCAACGGATACGATCGCGGTTGAATCGAGTGAGTCGGATGAATCCTTAAGATTTTCTTGGTTGCGCCTCTCGTTTGCAACGCGAGTTTGTGCACGTTTGGTGTATTAGAGTATGTTTCGTGCTGATTGAACAATTTTTCTGGTTCTATTTCCGGTTGGAGAGTGGTGAACGTTATCTCGCTGATGTTGAAATTTGTATTATTTACGGGCTCGAGTTGTAGCAAGTGGGCCTTCGAGTCTTGTCTCCTATGTTTAAAATAAAATTTTGTATT